TTTTTTTTTTTTTTTTTTTTTTTTTTTTTTTTTTTTTTTTTTTTTTTTTTTTTTTTATGTACCAATTTCTTTTTTATCTCTGTTTTTTAGCACCCCTCCTTAACAATATGTCAGATCTCTATTTTAATATCCCCTTAATTTTTCTGTTTTTCTTTATTTCCTCTACCTTTTACACAGCGTCTCTTTTATCTCTCTCAACGTACGACTCTTTCATGAAAGACAAACCTCTACAAAGAACAGCCATTTAGCTGGGGAATAATTTTCAATCACAAAAAACTCGATTTTACCCAATGGAAATTCAAACCCATCCCCCACATTTAAATTATGACGTTTATCTTAGCTTACTGATCAGTATTGTCGTTTCTCTTATTATAATTATTATTTTTTATTATTACACTAGAGGTTTGACAATGTGCTCACATTTTTGTTAAAATAAAAATTTAAATTTCTTAGTTTACTTGAATAGAAGTAAACAGAAAGTAGGTATCTGTACGTTTTGATATCACAAGATCAAAATTTGCTCTGGTGACTTTTATTTTGTTCTATTATTAATATTGTCGAATCTATCAAATTAAATGCATTTGTTTTTATTTTTCTTTTTTTGCACATATGCGCATGAACAATCCTTGACGATTTAGGGGACAAAGATCGAGTTTCAGTTGAAACGGGTTAAAACAAAAATAAATCGTACTTTTATCTATATTTAAGTTGGTTGACTGTCCTCCAAAAAAAAGTGTCGTAAAGTCATGCTATAATTTTACGAAAAATTTACAGTGACAGTTAGATGATAAGAATTTTGTTCGGCGACCCACGTACGATTCATCCACACGACTATAAATCTTTTACCACGTAAAATGCCCATAAATCACGCAGATAATAAAGTAAGTAAAAAATTCACTACGGAAGGTGAAGATAATGCAAGAGTAGGTACATCGCTGTTAAAAAAAAAAAAAATTGCAATAACGTGGACAAAAAGGAAGCTGAGCAAAACGACTTAATTAAACGTTGTGATTTTAAAACTCTAACTGCATTTCTAAGGATTATTTTAATTACTGTTTTCTAGTTTGGTATGGTTTTACGAGTGCGTTGAACTTTGGGGTAGAATAAAAGTAAATTACGTGGAAAAAATAATAACATTATCATTGAAATTTTTTTCTACCGAATAACGTTGTAAAACCTCTAATAGTCGCGACAATAAATAAAATGACTGTGTGCGTAACAAAAAATATATTGATGTATTAATTTACAAAAAGGTAGCGCGTGATGTATAGAACTGACACAAACATTTTTCGTAAGTAATCCTATGAAAAAAATATTTCATGAGAAACATTCGAAAATTAAAAAAAAAAAAAATTTCCTTACGAGGCATACTTCTCATATGACGGTTTTTCTTTAAAAATATAAAAGCGGTAAAAATCCAGTAAACTGGGTGATTTTATTTGATTTCATCCTAAAGGTAAATCTCTTTTTTTTTGTTAGTGGATAATAAGAGAAATAACAAAAAAATTATTTTTTTTTTTTCAACGTAAAAACAGTTCTATCCCTAAAATTAGCGTAAAATGTAATTAAAATCCTAAAAGGAATAAAAAAGATTAAATAGTAAAGCCTTTGGTTTTTAATTAAAAGTTTAAAAACAAATGTTAGTAAAGGTATTTTAAAATTTTTTAAATGTATTTCACCAATAACTTTTGGTGGTATAACTAGTTAAAAAAAAGAAATTGTTCGTCTTGAAGGTATGTGCTTCGAAAAAACTTCAATTATTTTTGGGGACTCTTGATGTATATTTTTGGGACATCGCTCATATATTTATACATGCAAAGAATGTCATCATTTAAATAGGTGCATTAAAAAATAATAAAAAATAATGTACTATGGGATCTCCTTCGAATGCAACAAATGTTATCGATGTCTAGATATAATTATATACATACATTTTTTATTGATGATACTTTTTTTGAGTACATAAAATGTATACTTTTTAAAACAATCAACTAACCAACGCGTGATAATAATGTTAATTGTATGGAAAAAAAAGTATTTAAATACCCAACAGACGCATATTTTGTAGAACAGCCCATGAGAGAAAAGAGTTTATTTAGATTTAGAAGAAAGATTTATCACTATTGTTTTCGATAGTTTGTTTTTTAATTCATAAAAAAAAAAATCTCACGAGAATCCTTTCAAGTGCCCTAATAAATACATATGCGACTATAATACTATATTTAAATGTGTTGAACACAGAATCGATAAAACTGTATGAAAAAAAAAAAAAGAAATGTTGATTATGCTGTCACCTCGATCAAGAATTAAATGTCTATCGATTTGTTTGCGAGTCAATCTTATAAAGTAACAAAATGTTGTGATTTTAAATGTGATAAATGTCTCGGTGTTTTAGCGAAGTTCGTGATGAATTATTGTCATGGTGGTTGTTGTTATTTTTACGTGCCTCAATTATTATGTCATGTGCTACGTATAAATATATAATTTCATATATATGTACAAATCATAAACAACTATGTCAACTGTTTTATGAAAAAAAAAAAAAAAAAAAAATCCTCAACCGAAACAAGATTTTATCTGCGTTAGATTAGTAATTGAATTAAATTTATTTATGAAAAAATTGCGCCTTTACATATTTTATAAAATTACAGAGAAAAAGTACAAGATTGTATTACAAAATAAATAGATTTTGTTTACGCACGTTACGTGATTTAGAAAAATGTAGATTCCTCACGAGCGATGGAAAAAGTTTTTTTCTCAACGTTTGCACCTTTCACGAGCATTGCTGGAAAATGCCGTAGTTGTCGAGTAGCAAAGATTTGTACAAAAACTTTTTGATCGAGTTAATCTTTTCTATACCAAATCATCAAAGGACTATGGCTTAAAAGTTTGAAAAACTTTATGAAAAAGTTGTACCCCCCCATAAGTACGGTAATGCTTCAATGTGCCAAAAAAATCATATATATTCATGTTACATATTTTCAGTGTATTTACAAAACTGTGCAATTCAAAAGATAATTAAAACTTGTATTTCTATATCAATGAGACGTAAAAGTCGACTATCAAAATGAACAAACTATGTGTATCCTTTAGTATACTACCGCGTGTACATCAATATTTTTTATGAAAAAACCGTTGTAAAAATTTTTAAAACACAATCCACAACTTTCGATACCTTTGAACTGTTTGGACTACGTATGAGACAATATTTGTCAAGGAATTGGCCGTGTTGTACTAAACGTTAGAGTAGCGTTATAAAAAAGTTGTTAACGTGATTCTTGGTCTAAGTGTTTTACGGAACATTTCGTCAACTGTGCGTTCACAAGCAAAGCAAATAATTTTATAAGAATTGACAATTCAAGTGATTCCCAAACTTTTTTCTACTCTGCAGAACTTCGGTCCCGTTTCACCTCTATAGGCATATTTGTTGTATTAACAAAGATGTGGTTATCATTGTGAATAGTAATTTGTTACAAAAATGTTAGTACAATTACTAGTGTCACGAGTCGACGTTTGAAAAAAAATGTATTTCGAGTTCAGTGTCTTTCAAATGTTAAAAGTCTAAAATAAAGATACCGTGTACTTAACTGCAAGATTTGTGGTAGAAGCGTAATATATCAATAAGTTTTGTCAATAATCCAAAGTTCCATAAAATAGCAATACAGGATTTGGATTCGAAGACTTGAAACTTCAAACTTTGTCTACCATTTGCGAGAAAATTGACATTCTTCGTCATCGTGCGTTTGAAACTTGAGTATGGATTTTTCAATGATTGATTAGTTTGTGATCTAAGAACTATCTGTACGAAAATACATCAATAAAAAGCTGTTTTGAAATTGTATATACGTTTATTCGTATGTTATTTTTTTTACCATTGAAAAATTATAGATTCCCTACAAAGTTACAATAAATGAAAACAACTTGATGGTTATCACAAAGAAATGTATTTTAAAGTGTATATACATAAATTGACAACTAAGTAAATAAAGGAAAATAACTCTAAAAACTTTTCATCAGCATGAAAAATGCACAATGATTTTTAAACAACAAAACCAGTTAAATTGAAATTTTACTAATGGACAATGAATATTCATTGAACCAAAAAATGTTATTGCTACTTGATTTTTCTTTCTCTTTATTTAAATAAATTTGGATTTAAATATTCCTATAACCATGAACCATATGCAATGTGAGACAATCTTTTCAATAATTAAGGTATGGACACAGCTGCTTCGAGTATTTTTAATTTGATTGCTATACCGTCTTTAATCGATGTCCTTTCTTTCTTTTTAAAATAATTAAATATATCCAGGTTCGATTTAACCCTTGTAATTAAAATAATCTATCTCTGGCTCAGGAGACCTTGATGGGGAGATCGCCCTGGGAGTTGCAGGTAAAGGATTAACAATCTTCTTGAAATTTAGTGTTAAAACGTCCTTGCTCCTGCAATTGTAAATAGGAAATTATGAAAGAATTTAATTTCACATAAGTAGATAAGATTCAACCAGACTCTGTGAGTAAAATAATATTTACCTATCAGTACTATTCAGTTTTGACGTGTTCATTGGGCCTGGTACTTTCCGCTGCCCGTTTTCTCTTTGCAGCATCTCAATAAGACTATAGCTTGGCAACCAACACTGTAACAATACACCACCAATAAGTTTTCGTTAATGAACAACATACCGGCGCCTCATGAATGACATTGCTTTTTTATTTGCGATAGATCTTGTTTTTTTTGAAGAAACACATGTGACTGCCTAACTACATTTACCTAATAACCACTTTATCAGTGCAGATTCAATAAAAGCTGGTTTTTTGACCAAGAAAACGAAAAAACGATGTATTTGATCCGAGGCTTCCGTACACAATGAAAAATAACAACCCGTTCTCACCTTATCTTTAACAGCCGTGGCGACGACATTGCGTTTCGGCTCCTGATCGTAAGCGTGACTCTCGCAGCCAAAGTGGTCGCACGACTCGTGCACAAACTGCCTCTTGTCCCTGTTCATGACCTCGAACGAGAAGCTCCGGGATTTTTGTTTCGACGTCTTGGCCAGTTGTACGAGCTCGGTCAGCTTGTCATGCACAACCTGGCAAAAGGCGGGATCCTTCTTGGCCCACTGCCTCATGAAGTCGCTGTACCTGGGCATGAGCTTGCCACTGAGGTCTGGATTGACTATCTGCAACCCTAGCGCCAGCCGCCTGTTGCGCTCGATCATCTTGCAATCGTCGTTGCACTCCAACGTCTTGAGCTGGTTCTGCTTGCGAGCGCCCTGACCGAACACCTCCTCGAGCTTCACCGAGTGACCCAGCTGCACGTCCGCCATTCTGCTCGCCAATACACCGCTGACTATGCGCTGGTAGTCGCGTGCATTTTCGGCGCACACACGCAGCGTCGTTCTGTTGCCGCACTGGCAGGTCACCTGTTACAAGAAATACTCCAGAGATTAGTGCCAGGGGTTACAGCTACCAATGCAATGTTATCAGACACCCGGTACATGGTATCTAAAAAAAAAAAAAAAAAAAAAAAAAAAAAAAAAAAAAAAAAAAAAAAAAAAAAAAAAANAAAAAAAAAAAAAAGACGACGAACCTTGATCATCTCCTTGCAAGGTGTGTCGGGGCACTTGCCGTCGTGACAGGGCGCGGCACAGTTATGGCCACAGGTCTCGCGAGGGACGGTACACGGCTGCGTACAGATCTGTCCGGGCTTTTCGCATGGGTCCGGGTGGCACATCTGCAACCAACCCATGAAATATTTGTTGCTTTTAGCACTATATATAACACGTTTATACGTCATCTCGTGAACATCGCGCAGTACCTGTATGCACTTGTGTCTTTTGCAAGATATTGGTTTCCCGCAAGGCAGACCGCAGGACACGTCGTTGACGTAACACGGCACGGCTTTGCGCAGCTCGTGGCGCCCGTAACACCATTTCTGCGTGAGTACGCTGCAGGGTGGACAGGTTGAGTCGCTGTGGCAGTTGTGCATGACTTCGTGGTCGCAAGGGTGTTCGCGGCTACAGGGCTTGTCGCAGGCCGGCCGGCGGGCGCCGCACGGTACGGGTGGATACATCACGGCCGCGCCGCACTCGCAGTACAGCTCGTCGAACGAGCTCCGCCAGCAGGGTTGACATCTACCTTTGGAGACGAACATTGTTAAACGATGGATACTTATGACACGCGTCGTTACTTGGGACTGGTATGCAATGTTGATGCTTACTTTTGTGACAAGTCTGCTCGCATCTATGCTTTCCGCAACTCAGGGTCTTGGAGCAGGATAGCGGGCATATGTGCTCGATGTCGATGCAGCACATCTGGTTACACTGAAGGTAAAAGGAACAATTAGGAAACCATTTTTTTTTTTTTTTTTTTTTTTTTTTTTTTTTTTTTAAAAAAAAACATAATCCTAAATTAATGGTTCAAAGTTATTTAAATGTATTCATTATGTCGTTCCATAGCTAGAAAAATGTTGTACATTTACCTTGTGCTTGGCACACGAGCGTTTCTTAGTACACTTTTTTTCGCAGCGAGCGTCGTCGGCCTTGGTTTTAAGTTCCGTGCAAGGGATCTCCTTGTCCATGTGGCCGCAACGACACCTGACCTTTGTGATCAATTCGCAGTCGGGGCAGTCGCCCACGTGGCAGTTTGCTCGGCAGGTATGGGGATTGTCTGGAAATGAAAATCAAAGTTACATCAACTGCCTGAAAAGTGGCCACCAAGTTATTATTAGGCTTCAAGACGTACTTGGCTGACCGCACTTCAATTGTTTGGAACACGTTTTGTCACAAGTCGAAATAGGATCCAAGCAGCTTTCCCGTTTGACGGTCAAAACTGTTTGGCCACAGCAGCAGTGGGTCACAGTCTCGGGTTTCAGAACGCAAGGGCCACAGCTTCCGGGGTGACATATATCTGTGCACTTGTGATTTTTACAATCAAGTTCTCTGTCGCAAACGTTGTCGCAAGAGTACACCAGCGGCAAATCGAGGACGCAGGTCTTTTCCCGGCTGTGCTTTCCACAGAAGCATTCTGAAACAAAGATCGAATGACTTTGCATGCAAATAAACTTCAAAAATTTAACTCCCGTGGACCGATCATACCTTGCTTGACAATCTCATCGCAAGGCTCGCATTCCCCATGGTGACACTGTCTCTTGCACTTGTGCAGCCCACAGTTGAGCACGCGATCGCAGATCTCGTCGCACTGCAACATCGGGCCAGCGCTGCACTTCTGAGAGCGCGACGTGCGCTTGCAGCCGCAGTACTTGACGACCATGGCTGAGCAGGGCGGACAAGCGCCCGGGTGACAGAGAAGCGTGCACTTGTGGACACAACTGACCTCCGAGCGTGGGCGTCCGCAGATTTCGCCGCACGAGTGGGCGATGTCGCGTCTGTTCCACTCGGGATTGTTCGTTTTACCGCAGAAGCACAAGTAATCCGAAGGCACATTTGACGTGACGTTCTGGCAGGCAGGACAGCGCCAGCCGGTATCTGCAAATAGAGATGTGGGCGAGTTATTTTTTTTTACCCAGACAATGATCAAAGTTGCAGCGAATAAAATATCACACGTAACTCACCATCTTGCGACGATTTGGCCCATTTCTGCACGCACTTTAGATGCAGGACGTGGTAGCAGTTGTTGCACGACCACACGTAGTCATTTTGCCGAATGGATTCACAGCATACCAAACACTCCAAATTACCTCGGTTCAGTTGCTCCGTTAATCTTTCCCTCTGACTGGCTGCATCATCTTTGAACATTTCACCAGAAGATACACGATTTACTGCAAACTAATTGTGACTCAATCATGGTAATAAGCAAAACTTACCTGGTTCATATTTTTTGTTGTTCGAACGTTTGAGGAGAATCACCTTACTGCCGGTATCATTGTTGGGCCTTTGTCTCCAATCGGTAAAATCTTTACTACGATTTTCAGTGGCAGCGGTCCTATTATCTCTTCTTTCGTACTTATCTCGATTGTAATTATTTCTATTGTATCCATTGTGCTCCGTATGGTTATTTTTCCTATCCCTAAAATCTCTCGAATCCCGAGTGTCTCTAAAGTCCCGCGAATATCTAGGATCTCGCGAATTCCTGTGATCCCGATTTTCCCTGAAATCCCTCGGATCTCGAGATTCTCTCGGGTCTCTACTGTTGTACCTGTCGTATCTATCTCCTCGATTATTATTTGAGAATGGCCTTGAATTTTTCGCTGATCGAGGTGTCACCGCCTGAGTGTTGTCTGTTTTAACGAACGCATCGCCCTTCTCGGTATTGCCAAAACTATCCTGACGACCGTCGATTGTCTCCAGCTCCACACCTGCACTAGTTTCTGAAGTCACACTCTCCGTGTCATCTTTCTTGGAGCGATTATTTCGCGGTTTGTCGTTGAAACTTTGATTCGTACTGTATCTATCGTTCTGATATTTTTTAAAATTTTGGGGCTTACCGTACTCCTTCCTATCATCCCTGTAGTATTGGCCATTACTTTGATTGTCTCTCCATTTTCTCCCAGCATCCTTTTTGTTATCAAATTTCCTATCATTTTGCTTGTTATCCTCAACAAAAACATTATTAGAATCTACAACTTGCTGGTCCTGATCAACTTCTGGCTTCTGATAATTATCATTCGTGCGACCTTTGCTATTCGTATATGCATTGACGCTATTGGTATTGCGATCTTTTTTATTCAGATTCGGTACGAATTCCATAGCAGTGGCGTGCAAATTTGAGTTCTCGACTATACTGGAGACATCGTAAGTCTTGTTTGTATCCTTGTATTTACTATTGGTCGGAAAATTGTTTCTGTTGTAGTAAGCCTGTTGAGCTATTTTGTTATCCTCATAGAAACAAGGCAACTGATTATTAGTGGTCTTGAAATTTGCTTCGGAGTTGCCTACTTTGTGAATCTGGAAATAAATAAGAATAATTAATGGCGTGAATTACTGTAACCATCATTTTAATTTGTTTCATACATTTATGTGAGAAAAATAAAATGTATGCTAGCGTAATTGAAAAAATTTGTTAACTATATTTTATGGAGTTACAGGACATTAAGCAATTATTTCCTTGACTCAACATTTTTAGATGAATAAGTCAAGTAGGTGCAAAACGAACATCCATAATGCAACAATAAAAGGAATTCTCTCCACCATTACATTAGAAACTATCTCAGATGTAATGTGTTACAAAAAGATTTTTAATTTTACTAAAAAGAAAAATTGTTAGCAATGAATTGTACAGAGTAGGCTTACCTTGTTAGAAACAGCTGGTATCCCATTGTTAGAATACGAATCGGCATTTGTTGCAACGTTTGGCACCAAAGCAGGAATGACGTTCCCATCAGTATTATTGTAGTAAGTAGGACCAGCAGGTGTGCTCTGCTCAAAGACCATTGTTCGATGAATGGGATACGAGTTGACTGGATTTTGGGGATAGGCGTTGGTGTGATTGGGCAGATAGTAATCCCAAGCTGGGATATTGGCAGGTATCTGACTGACGGAGCTGTTGGCGTAATAATTGGGCCCATCTGGCTCTGGGTAAGAGCCGTCCCAGGTGGCCATCCCTTACACACACTCTGGGAGCCTTTAACTACTTGTGGGGGAGGTCAGGAGGGTACACTACCTGTGAAAATATTGTAACCAGAAATGCTGCATAAGTACACAAAGTTTTTATTGTAAGTACCGAAAACGCACATTTATTATGTATATTACAAGTTAAGACAATGGAAATGGTATAGAACTAACGAACGTTCACTTCACAAATTATTTCATAACCTAAGGCAACGACAGGTAACACAGGCACACACTGGCACGCTCGAGACTCCAAAGTTGAGTTGCATCCACATGCAACTTGACACGAAAAATTCAATTTTCCACCGTATTGACAGTCACGATAAGGAGTTGAGAAAATAATTGATTTGTAGATGATGAAAATGCATAGGTACTCACCTGTGACAACTTAAAATGGGAAATAAGATTATACTTTTGTCAAGTAAAAGCAGGGGAGCATGGCCCAGCATGGCGCCTTGGCGCGCCCCTAGTGAGCCCCTACCAACCTGACATACGGTCGCACACGTCGCAATGTCGCATTGAAGCAGATTGAAGTCATCGGAATTCAGAATCAGTGTGTGTATGCGCGTGTAAGTATTAAGCGTAAGCATAAGCATAGACATATTTCTCTATGGTATACTAAGCTAGTAAGCTACTAAGTAGTAGTAGTAGTAGTAGGTATTAGCAGAACTAGCAGAGTAGCCATTAGCCAAGCAAGGTACATTTTGTTTATGTATAAAATATTTTTTTTAAGAAAATGTACATTTTTGCCCTTGAAATCGAAAGGAAGGAAAATACTTATGCTTAAAATCAATAGAAAAAAAAAAAAACAAAAACAAACAAAAACTTGGCATGTATTTTAAGATGCTGTATTTGTAAGGTGTAAATATGTATTTGCATGATTAACGTAATGAATAGTTAACCGTAAACGTTCACGTTTGAGATGAAAAAGCCGAATCAATCGAAAAGCAAAGTAAGTGTATGTGTGAGGTACACGTTTTGTCGATTACAAATAGATTTAAAATTCAATGGTTTTTTGGTCGGAACGCAAGTACGTGGATTTTGTTATCGTAAAAATTTGCTGTTTTGTAAGATCTTTTCTTGCTTTGATAATGTATCCAAATAATGAAAGTAAAAATCTTTTTTCAAACATTTTAATAAGATATCTAGTAGATATCTCACATAATCTACCGATCATCTTTTATCTTTCTAACATCTTTAAGAAGTTATACAAGATGTATTTAGAAATTTGAATAAATTGAACCAGGTCCTTGTTATTAAAGATTAATACTAAACTTTAAAAAACGGTGATTTTTCTCGTTTTTTTCTTTATTGAAATAGACACATAATTAAGTTAACAGTCGACACTTTGGAGTTAATCTCAAAAAGAATAACATGTTTTAATGAAAAACAACCGTTTTATTTCAATGCCATTGAAGTATTCTGTTATTTGCATTAAAATAATGTAACATATCAAGTGTCATGTGTACAACAAATTGTCTACAGCAGTTAGGTTTACTGGTAACTTTGTGACTTTACTTCAACATAAATGCAAAAAATGTACTGAAATTTCTATACATCTAGATGAAATGAGAAACATTTTTTCAAAAATTTGATACAAAACAGTATTGGGTGCATGTATCCCACGCATTACTTAAAAAATAAATATTTGAAACATTATTAATCAATTTTATAAAACTTTTTATCCTTTACTTAATTTTGTCTGCCAAGGAACAACTTAATCCAGTGTTGTCTGGCTCAACATTTAATTCAGTGACTTTTCCATTTTCAACAATCATTGAGTAACGTTTGCTACGTTTACCTCCAAGTACAGGCAAATCTACAGCAAGATCTACTGCATCTGTAAACGCTCCAGTAGGGTCAGCCAACATTCGAACCTTAAATCATAAAATAGCAGTTTCAATGATTATCATTCATAAGAAATATGCAATTTTTCATTTTTATACCTTTCCTTCAGCATTTTGATCTTTACCCCAGGCTGACATGACAAATGGGTCGTTAATGCTAACACAGACAATATCATTGTAACCTTTACACTTTAACTCATCAGCTTTTTGAACATATCCTGGTAAGTGAGTCTGTAAACAATAAATACGAATGACTTATTTAACAAATAAATTTAAAAGTAAGAATTAAAGGAAAAAAAAAAGAATTAAACCTTAGAACATCCGGGAGTAAAAGCACCAGGCACAGCAAATATGATAATTTTCTTATCTGCAGATAATTCAGCCAAATTTACTTTATTTGTAGGTGTGTCTTCGTACAGGTCAACTGATGGGAGTTTATCACCTACCTAAATGATAGGAAACGAAACTTTGTATGTATATTATTCGAGTTGGATTAAGTTGAAATTAGTCCTACTTGCAAAAACTAGCTGTTTAAAACAAAATAAAGCTTACATTGATTTTACAATTAGTAAAATCAGTCCACCACAAGGACAAGTATTTCGTTTATGTAACATCGTTAAATAAGTAGTAATCAGCAAATATGTACACATCACAAGGATTGTAATAAACAATTCAAGCAGAAAAAAAAAAAAAAAAAAAAACTTGTAAAAAAATGAATCGCAAACATATGTCAACAGAATTCCAAACTGTAAAAATCTCAATCAAATTGCACATTGTAGTGTATTTGTAAACAAAAGATTGCGCATGGATCTAAAAGCAGTAAAAATATAACGCGGTGCAAAAGGGAGATTCTAGGATATCCCTGTCTCTCTCGCACTCATAATTATCAAGTGACCGTTGCAGCAATTTGGCACACACAACACGTGTAAAGTAAGTACTATGAATACCTGTTAATAATCAGGCCTATCAGACATTAAAAGCTAACGTTTAATGGCCGGTATTCAACGATTGACGTGCACTTACCGAGATAACCATGTTTGAGGAGGTCGCGTGAAAACTTCTGTGAGAAGAGGCAGCTGTAACGGAACGTCGCAGGGAGGTAAAAGCACGGACTGCGAAGTGGTTCATTTACGGGCGAGAAAGAAATCGAGGGGTCGGCGATGTGAATATATTGATATTCCTTCTTATGTTATACCCGCACTACTACTGCTTATCTCGTAACTTTGTGCGTAATCTAACGTAACATATACGAGATAAAAAATATGTCGCCGCCGTCGCCGGTTGCGTGTTTTCGACAAATTCGACGCGTCCAAGTAATTTACGCATTTATGTACTGTAGAATACGTCGACAATTTAGACAATAACATAAACACGATCGGTCCTTTATCCGTTGCAAATATAGGGGTAAATGACCCAATTACTGCGCACTCGACGGTAACTGAAAATAAGAAAAACAGACTAAAAATTTGGGTGCTTGGATATTGTAACACGTACGGACATTAATAACGATCAATCCAGAATCATACTTTAGATCATGACATTTATAATTGTTTAACTGAGTGACTGTAAACGAATCTAACCTACAAAACTTTGTAGTTGTGCGTAGTGATTGGTACGCAGCAATTGGGTCTAGGGCTTCAGCATGAAAACCTTATGGGAGATACCTGTGCAGTAATTGGGGGCGCAGCGACTGGTGCTAATTTCATAACCGTGCGCAGTAATACCAGCAAGTGATATCAGCACTTAAAAACATTTATTTAAAAAAAAAAAAAAGTTACTTAACAGAAAAATGTTTGTCGTTTTAATCGCACAAGATGATGCAGATTAAGATTAAGTAAAATTGGTTCAATTTACATCGAAAAACATTGAGAAATGAGAAATTTAGTACAATCAAAAATTTCAGTGCGCAGTAATTGGGTCATTTACCCCTATATGCTTTTTTACAGAGGAAGCTAGCATTTTTCAAGAGTAAAGTTTTACCCATATGTTAGGATTGTTTTGTAGTGTAAATGGATCAAAAGACGTTACCAGGAAACTTTTTTGTTTGCTTTCATTTCCATTGAATTATCAAAACAATTTTCTCGAGCGTTTAAATACCTTTATTTTCCATTTTTTTTCATCAACTACTTCACAATTTTCAAGGTATTTCAACTTTTGGTAATAATGTGTTAACGTGGCCGATGATGTAATTATGTGTACTAATTTTATATTGATTTTTTTCTTCATAACAGCTGTGAAAACATCAAATTTAACACTTCGCTTAATTTTTCATCAAGATTTAAAAACTTATCCGAATTTAGAAAAAAAAGAATTGCTTCTGAAATAATTTTTTTTTGAAAATAACGAACAAGTTTGTTTAAAACATTAAATATTTATTTAACCAAAACTATAAAAATAGATGTTGATGGAGCCTTAGGCTTATAAATTGGGAGCAGTTTTTAAATTGTATTAAAAATAATGATGTAAGGAAAATTTCGAGTTTTTCTCAATTCTCACTCTAAAGTTAACAGAAATAAACATTATGGATGTTTTTACTTTAACGTGTTTAACATGTAGGTGTTTATGAAAGATCATAAAAAAATTTTATTTGGAAAGGAACTATACCGACCAGATTTTAATAAAAACTGTAGACGTAAGATATACTTTGTTTGCTCACAAATTTCAGAGCAAGAAAGAAAAAATGTGTCAAAAATTTTTTTTTCATACTCGATACAGTCAATTCTACAGTTTGGTACGTCGTTTGTCTCTCCTACACTCGTGTAAAAATATAACATTTAGTAAATTTTCTCAAACTTATTTATTTATTTATTATACCAGGCCCCCCCCCTCGTGTTTTACAAAATAAAAAAAAAATTTCTTAGATATTTTTGTACTACGAAAAAAAAGATCACCTACCATTATTTTGCGAGTGGTATACCTAATTGAAGAAAAAAAAAATTGTTTGCCATACATAAGGATTTATGCGAGGACTCATGTCGAAGTATCAAATATAGAAACACTGGTATTATATTAATTAATTAATGTTGGATATTAATTTAGCTGTGCGCCAAGTTTCATGAATTTAACAGGTGTACGATAACGACATTAGGAGATTCGGCGTTCATTTGAGTACCATCATCGTACGGAGAGTTACTACCTCAAGGACATTTACCGGTAAGACAAAAATTTACCTTTTTTACGTATATAATTTTTTTTTAACGTAAAATTTTTTTTTTATTTAAAGAAAATTAATACAAACCGTGGTAGTCATCGCCAGTATGCATCTACAAGAAGGCAGAATTCCCCTGTTCCCGATTTTAAGAGAAACATTCAATCAAACAACAAATTAAAATTAATATGATTTATTAAAGATATTCAAAACGTAAACAATATTTTTTATTTTCTTTCAAAGATTCCGTATGTCCTGATCTAACTCATTCCATGTGTATTCTAATTATAAAACAGTAATTTAAAAAAAAAAGCGTTTAAATTAAGCTACTGTAATATTTACGTAAAATCATGCTGCAAAAATTTTTTAATCATTTTTGTGTATAATTTTATTTTTCAATACGTATACCGAGTAGTCAAATTAAAATCTATTTTTAGGTAGTAAAAAGGAAATCTTACGTGGTAAGGCTTCTCTAATTATAAATAAAAGAAATAGGCCAATGGTAACTTTATTAAAATTTTATTTAAAAAACAAATTTTCTTGATTATCGATGCAAAACCGCAATCGCTCCAATTACAATACAATTTTATTTATTTTCTATAAAACATAACAAAACTCGTCTAAAGACGACGAACTTATAACTAATGTATGGTAAATATTATTTTGGCATAGACACTAGACTTGTTGACGCTTCGTCAGCGTATAATTGAATAAGTATACAAGTACGTTTGCGAGTCGCGCGCACTCATTCATATGTACATGGCTAAGAGATCAATGACCGCTAGTTTTTCTCAAAAGTATACGTATCGGTTGGTAATCTTCTATGAAACCGTATGTAAGTTAGACATGTCGCTGTAGTTGTGAAAATATACGTCTATTTTTTTGAAAAAAAAAAAAAACAATCATTTGAAATAGTTGTTCTCATCCATATGATAATAATACTTTGAAAAACAACCACAATTTACTAAAACTAAGCTCTCTTACTTCGTTGTCTGAGATTTTNTGGCGCTGTCGCGTTGGGTAGATCAGCGGATAGTCCGGCTCGCGGAAAATGGGCCTTGCACCTTGGCCCTTTGTTGGTTTTGGACAACGACTTTCATCGAGGTACTCTTGCACGGATTCGAAAAAGTCCCACCCGCGATAAAGTATTCGTTGGAACAGCTTGAGTTCGACGAAAGTTTCGTCTTTGGCGGGGATGAACACCAGAAAATTAACAATTTGAAACGAGCGAAAATGAAGACGAGTCACATAAATACAAGATAGAAATTAACAGTTAAAGTTTTTTTTTTTTTTTTCAATAGTAGTTGAAAAATGGGAGTTCATATTAAAACATTCGATCGCAAAACATGCTAAAATTAAAAAAAGGCGAAAAAATACTTTTTTTAAAACGATGAAAAGTGAGTGTTTAAGAAAAGCCTCGTAAAGAAAGACAAGAACTTTATACCATTTTGCTATGAAATCACCCGTAAAAAATAACAGCGACGAGCGCATCATTGATTTCTACTTATTTGCGTCTTCCTTTTCTAAAACCCTTGTTTTAAAGTACGCCAACTCGTTGAATGTCTCGGTTTTCAACATGAGGTAGCCTCCGGATAGCCCGGTTCGCTTAACGTCCAAACTGATGCCCGAGAGAGGCACGGGCGGACTCGAGACAACTGGCTGGATGTCGATCAGAGGTAACGTGGTTTGTCCGGCGTCCTTCGACGAGTAAGCCGATGGAGTGAATTCCGTGTACTGGTTGGACACGCCGTCCGGCACGTTCATTGCGTTGTCCAACGAAGTTGGCTTGTCGTACTCGCCAAGTGCCAGATGGGTTCTGAAACATCCAATTCGATTAGATCGTTTGGTAGGATAGAATTAGCGAAAAAGCATGGTTTATTTTTTAAAAATTGCTTCTAACGTGAATAAAACCTAGATGGTAGTTAAGCGGTTTTAGAAAAAATCTTTGTGTCAGCTAACGGCCCAAAAAAAATGGTAACAATAAAACTTTTTTGTTTGACTCTCCAGTTCTTTTCGAGACGTGAAAAACCATTTTTGGCCATTGTTACCATTTTTTTGGGCCGTTAGTTGACACAAAGATTTGTTCTGGAACCGGTTAACTATTACCCAGATTTTTTTCGGGTTAGAAGCAATTTTTTAAATCGAAAACCTCAATCGATTCCACTAGTTAGCACATGTAAATATGCGTGAAAAAAGGTAGAACGAGTTAAAATTTTTTTTCGTGAATTCTAGGTCCAGTAGGAGAAACAGCCGCTGACAATCAGTTGGAAAAAAGCTTTTTGTAAACTGAATCCTACCTTTTGAAAATTATTTCAAAATTGTTTCATTCCTTGTTAATAAATACACTTTATACGTTTAATACTCATACATTTTTATTCTGCACGTAAATCATTGACCGTTGTTTTAAAATTATTGAAATAATTTGGTTCTCATGTACGAAATCATTTATGGGCACAGGAATTCTTTCTAGAAACGTAACGTTGAAATGGAAAATTTCATGTATTTTAAGCCAAAAAAAGGACCCATCATTATTATTAATACGTTATTCAGTTTCCAATATATATTTTTCAAATAAGGCTTTATCGACGAAAATCTCAAATTCTTAAAATTCAAAGTGACACGGTGTGAAGTACCGAGTAAAATTTCGACACTGTTCCAGCATATATACCTTTTCGGCTCCATGAGGTACTCGGACCACCATATGCTCCGCCCTTCCGAGATAAGACCACTGCCGTGGTCAAACAAATTCGCCTGTACATCTAGCTTGACGTTGAAAGTGCCATTTTCACTTTGTTCCACGTCAAATCTCACTCCCGTAACAACCTCGGTACTCGTAAACTCAATGTCGTCAAGGTACAATCCACGCCTGTCGTACCAATCAAGCTTAAACACTTTCTTCCCTTCGAATTCAAAAGCCACATTTTTCCCGTACGACGGCTGCCTGTACTTCACCCTCGCTTCGTCCGCCGGCAGAGGAACCGTATCCTCACTCACGTACTCGATGTCCTTCCATCCAACTGTTTTTTCATCGATGTAACCGTTTGGCAGCAATTTTCCTTGCTGAATCTGGACGTAGAGCGTATGCTTTTCCAAAACAAATTTCACGCCTGTGACCACGCTGTTGGACAATAAGAGTTTGCAATCAGTTAGCAAAACACACATAATGAGGGCCATTCTGCCGCTAGGGGCGCTCGCCATCACACGAGGTACTCAAACTTAATTGATATATCTATACTTTGCGTGAGTGCGTGCGCATCGTAATACATAGATATACCAAATACACGCGAGTACCACGTGCGATGGCGAGCGCCCCCCAGCGGCAGAATAGTCCCAGAACCCCAGATACACGCGAATGGACGCGACTTACAAATTCTTATGAGTGTCCGAAATGGCGGGTTCCAAGCTAATGTACCGGTCGGAGTCTTCCTGTTCATCGCAAATGCAGTCGCAGGACTTGTGGCGCTCTATTTTGAGTCCTCCCACGTCGTCATAGTAGGACTTGAAGACGTTTTCAGTGGAGTTCGAGTGGCAGTAGTTGTTGCTTTTGAACAGATTTTTGAACTCCTGAATGAAACTCGGGTGCTCGTGCTTGTACGTCTCGTTGACCGAGCTGTACCTGCGACGCTGCTTTGTATCCTTCTGAAGAGGAAACGAACAATAAATTGGGCCTCTTCGAATAACGTATATGATACCGTTTTCGTGCTCACCAAAATACAAGCAGTTATGGGCTCGTTGTACGGGAGCTCCTTGCAATCGACGACGTTGTCGCAGTGGCGCTGTCGCGTTGGGTAGATCAGCGGATAGTCCGGCTCGCGGAAAATGGGCCTTGCACCTTGGCCCTTTGTTGGTTTTGGACAACGACTTTCATCGAGGTACTCTTGCACGGATTCGAAAAAGTCCCACCCGCGATAAAGTATTCGTTGGAACAGCTTGAGTTCGACGAAAGTTTCGTCTTTGGCGGGGATGAACACCAGAAAATTAACAATTTGAAACGAGCGAAAATGAAGACGAGTGTCGTTATACTGACTTTCCACGGGTTTTGCCGGATCACACCTCCACATGTCACGGTCAGCGCGGGCAAGTACCATTTTGGCGTCCATAATGGTGCTCCTCACCACGTTTTCCGCATCGCTTTTCCAATCAATCATTTCTTGTTTGCTTTTGACTGAAGGGATTTTTAATGTTTCCATTAATCATACTTACAGGAGGGTCAAGTGTAAAAATGTACCTTACCATTTTTTTCGTGCTCGTGTTTCAGCTCGTAGGCGTAATCTATGGCGAAGATGCATTTGAGCTCGTACGACACGACAGAGGCGAAAAAATCGTAAAAATATCTCTGCCGCGATTTTGATCTTTGACAGTAAGGGTCCAACTTCTACGACCAAAATTACTTATGAATCAACAAAAAGAAATCCCCTTTTGAATAAATTGTATTCTCACCTCAATGTATTTTTCCATGAGAGAGGCAAGACTGTGCTGATTCAACGAAATGACATTGTCGTAGATGTTGAAAAGCTCTTCCGGCATTTCCTTTGTCATTTTTTTGTAGAAATCAATGACAGTGGTGGGATCGTACAGAGACCGATTGTGTTTGTGCTTGAGGTAATCGTTGTAACGCCTGTCAATGAACTTGAACTTCCTCCGCACTTCTCCCAAACGATGGACAATATCCGTCACTTCTGGTATGTCGCTTACCAACCCATCCAATTTCAAGCTCAAGTCACGCAAGGTGTTTTCTATCGTCATGTAATGGCGCTCTTCGCTTGACGGTTTTATTTCGATGATTTTAGTTTTTTCCGAGATGAACTCGTATGCGTCGTACAAGTAGCCAAGGCCTTCCAGTATTACGTCGATTTGGCCATTGGCAAATGATAACACCAAACTCGAACACAATAAGTGCAAAAGTAGTGTTTTACCCCACATTTTCAATATCAAGTTGTTCAATAGCTGTAAAAAGCAATAGCATCGATATGTCACATGAATATTATGTATTATACATGTATGACGAACGAAGTGTTTGCATGATTAAATACATAAATCACAATAGTCATATTTAATTTCTATAAATAATACCACAAAACGTACAAGAGTAGTATATATACATTACAATATTTACAATGTAGAATTTAAATAATTGTATAAGAGGTATTTATTAATAATTGTATATAATTATTAATTCAGACTTGGGCATAATTATTTCTATGATTTTTGAAATACCTTAAAACAAAATTGTTTTTCTTTAATAAAACGTACTAAGTACTTTTGCTGAAGAAAGAACTTTCTATGATCCACGTACAATATTATGAAAAAATTCTTTTTCTGGCAGGTAAGCTTAATAAATTTTAGGTATCAAAGTTTATTACAAAGCATTTGGAAACATTTATATACTTTTTTGCTATAATGATTTTTCTTATAAATTGTAACACATTCTGTATAGGAATAAATTTTGTCTTAAGCACTGCGTTATAAATAGAAATTAAAAATTTTTGGTTATAATACTGACAATGCATTACATTTTTAGTAAAAAATTACACTTCAAAAAAATTGAAAAAGTATCTGTACCCAAGTCTGGTTTTAATGTTGTAAAGCTTATTGATAAATATGATAATTAAGTTAGTTAAAAAAAATTTTCTAGAAAATAAATCCACGTGACTCAAACTTGTTCATTTGTTATATAGTTGATTATGGATCACTTACTGGTTCATGTGAAATATTTTTTAAAATTAATTGCATTAATTCATAATGACGTTTTCAATAAACTAAGTTTGCGGTTTGAAAACGATATGGAGTGATATTACTTTATCCGTCTCATTCTTTTTAAATGAAAAAAAATTATGCAATTAAACTGCATTTAGTGTTAATCAGACATAAACTTACACGTCATGTGCAATGTAATTTAACACGGATAATAGAATGCTACTAGTCCAGGTAATATGAAATTTTATTAAAAAACATTTTTTTAATCATTATAATTACTTATATTTCAGTATTAAGATTTAAAGTTATTTGGAGATAAAACGATTTAAATTATTGGTGGCAAAAATATTGATTTTTTTTTGTTGCATTTTCACCAATATACAGTATTTGTATTGTAAGAATAATTTCATTTGATTTAGGAAGTGTTAGGTACTTACAGCCAATGTCTGAAGCTGCGCAATTGATTTCAACTACTTTGATTTCAAAAGACAAGTGTGATTCGCAAGTAATGACAGACTACTTATATACGGTGCCATCGAGTCTAATTGAGTACACCGAAAAAAAAATTTGTTCTTTTTCAATGGAGCGACAAAGCGATCTAAATTTCATTAGATAAATATATATCTCCGGAAATCCCATAAACGATTTGTTGCGCATATTCTTTTAGAATGATAAGAAATTCATTGAAATTCTATCAGTGAAAAAGCGAAAAGCCTAATCTAGTTCGTCGGTAAAAGCACGCAAGTGTGTTTATGACGAAATCTAGTCGAGAGATAGAATTGTTTTCATAAAAAGTATTACGTTCGACAGTTGAGGGGACAAAAAAAGCGTCGTAAAAATTTTAATTTCTTTTTGTTTATTTGTAGATGCCAATAGTAAAGGTTGTTGTCGCTGTACACAACAATGTAGTTGTACGTTTATACTAGGGATCGGAGGTTTGGATCGAAAAAAAGGAGATGATAACCGGCACCCTATTGGGAAAAAAAAACTGCTAAAGAATTTTTTTCTGTCGAGAATTTATTTTTAAAATCTAACAGAAGTTCAAAAATTTCTTACTGCGATTCGCCATTTTTTAATTTAATTTCTTTGTTTTTATTTTATTTTTTCTTGTACTTAATACAATTTAAATTATTAAAGTTCTGATGAGCTTCTAAAAATAATTTTTTTTTAACTCTTCAATGCCAATATTTTTGTAGTTACAATCAAGTATTCAAATCTTTATACACCGAGCAAACCGATTCTTTCGTAAAAAAATGTCTACTCTCAGTCAATTCAACATTTGCTTTTGAAAAAAAAAATTTTAAGACTGGACTACGTATTTTATTAAACTTAATTAATTTTTTTAATAATAAATATTTCCTTTGATTAAACAAAAACTGTTTTTTCGACTAAATTAATTTTTTTTTTTCTATATAATTAAAAGAAAATAACGAGAGTAAAGTATTGTTTTTTTTTTGCTAGGAGAATTGGTATACATGGAACAAAAATTTTCAGATAAAAATTTTTTTTTTTCGTAGGAAATAAAAACCATGTTTTCATTTTTAATTTTGGACCACAATAGTTCACCCGCGAGAAGATGTACCTTATGGACGTCGAGATGAGCACGGAATTGAGAAACCGGAAAATAGCTTCACGTGAATACTGAAAATGCATGCAGCGGTTGTGAGATGAACTCGTGATGTGCAAGCTTTTCTCTTTTTTTTTTTTTTTTTTTTTTTTTTTTTTTTTTTTATGATCTCGCACGTGCACAGTGTGCGGTCGACAAGTATACGTAAGGCTGCAACAGAATGGGAATGATTTATCTCGTCTGATTGAATTTCGGACGGTGATGATGTGAGGATTTTTCTTCCGCTGACTGGATTCGAGGATGACTCTCGAATGATTTTTGTTGGAGAAATCTATGGTGCACTGTGAGAAAAAAATAATAATAATTGAAGAGAAATTCCAGCAAAAATTACCATTTCGCACAGTATAACGGATACAAGCTGGTAACAAAGAAAAAGTTATTGTTTTTAACAGTAAAAATTGTAGTTTCAATAGTTAGAATTATAAATAATGAGACAGTATACGAAGTGGTCATTCGAGCATGACTTTATTAAAATAATAATATAAAAATAATAAAGTCATACTCGAATTACCACTTTGTACACTGTCTCATTATTGATTATACGACTATGGAGCAAGTGTTATGATGATTTACCTTTACATTAGTTAGAATTATGGTTTGAAAGGTATAAAAATTACTATACTAGAACAGTAAAGCTTTTTAAAAGTATCGGTTAATAAAATTTACTTTCCCACGTCGAAATTTTGACTTTTCGAATCATAATTTTAACTGTTGAAACAATAATTTTTACTGTTAAAATAATAATTTTTCCCATTTTTGCCACCTTGCATTCGATTTGGTAACTTTTGCTGGAATTCCCGTATAATTTTTATTATTTTTTTCTCTCTGTGTGGCTAGTCTGAGACGAAATGCTCATTTCATTCTTTCACTATATGTATACGTGTAAGGGTATTTTGTATGAATTGTGTAGCAAAATTGCATTAACGCGTATTAATCTGAAAAATTACAATGAATCATTGGAAAAACGAGTGACAAAATGTTCTAAAACCACAACGTATGCCTAGACTCACATTGAACTGTGGATGATTCATACAGATTAGATTTATCAGACAGCGATGCTTGAGAACAAGTGTACACAAATTATACGGATGTAGGTACGTCTCAAAAGTGCGTGCACTTTCATCGTGCCTATATAGGAATGATAAACTTTAACCACAGCTGCTTCTCCGCTCTCTCTTTCGTTCCAAGCATTTCTTTCCCCGCACTTTGTGTGCGAGAGATCACTGGAGCGTGGAAAGGCCGTATAGCGCTCTTGTACTATCCGAATATAAAATCTTCTTCTTGGGTACCCATACGTTTCGTGGTGTTTGTGCTCCTATATGTGCTATGCGTAGTTTGTCGAAAGTATACTATGTTACGTCGCTTGAAGCTGACCGATTATTTATCAATGTTGAAGAACCGAGTGATTTTTTTTCCTTTTTTTCTTCATTAAAATGTGCTTTTTTACTTCAACTATAGAGTGAGAACCGATGAGTTGATAATTTATTATTTTGAGATGATTGTATAAAATAATGCTGAATCAGATTTTTCATCTTTACTATGGTGTTTTCAGACCTTTGTTTACTTTTATCCCCATGAGTTTTAATTTTTCAACAATCAACTTCTTATAAATGATGATGATAATAATAATAATAATAATAATAATAATAATGAGAGTAATAATAACAAAAATAATGATGATAATATTTTAGGTATGGTCTCATTAAAAAGAAGAAAATGAGAGTTCAAGAAATGATTAGAGTTTTTCGCATGCTGTTCACGGGACAGTGATTACAAAAATTGCATGAGAGTAAAGACGTATACACTCAAGTTAGAGGTAATACCGCTTTTCACTTTTCATACGTTAATTAATTTCATGTCCATGGTAATAAATGGATTCCAAATATATTTACGTTTGCTCAAAATTTGTAGACATTTTATTGCTGTATTATTACTAACACTTTCAGCATCATTAAAGAGATTAATCAATTTTATAGTATCTGCTGACACTTGGGTGTCACTAAAGTCTGTTTTTTTTTTTTTTTTTTTTTTTTTTTTTTTTTTTTTTTTTTTTTTTTTTTTTTTTT